ACAGACAGACAGACAGACGGGCGGGCAGACGAACAGACAGACAGGCAGACAGGCGGACGGACGGACGGACAGACAGACAGACAGACAGACAGACAGACAGACAGACAGACGGACAGACAGACAGACAGACGGACAGACAGACAGACCAGCCCGATACTGTTAAGGATGGACAAACAGACAAATGTACACACAGACAGACACACAGACAGACATACAGACAGACAAACACAGACAGACAAACACAGACAGACAGACAGACAGACAGACAGACAGACCAAAATATTTCCGTCGAAGGTTCCCAAGAAAGACTATCGTCTTTAAAAATTATGCCTGGAACGTGAGCCACGAACGCGCTGCCCAACCCTCTGATTTTACCCCCTTATCCTTATCAGTACCAGGCTATGGACAATGCAGGTTAGACGATAATAGCAGCCGAGGACAACCGATATTTCGTTTCGAGAGCTCTTTACATTGTGACCGTGGTATAGTCGAGGAAATTTCCCGGAGCCCTCCACTCTACGGCGTCTCTCGTAATCATATCGCGGTTTTGGGTCGTAAAACCCCAACAATGAATATTATTATTATCGACGTCTTTCGATAAAATTTTGCCGAACGAATGAAGGACGTGTCTTTGTCACTCGCCGTTCGAACCACTCATCCCTATTCTGTGATGCGCTCGAGTCCGGCACTGCATCAGCTTACTGGAAGCGTGCCTCAGAGCGAGTGAATTGGCACATGCACGAAAAGAAGGAAAACGAGATCACGCCTATCCCAAAGCGATAACTGGGGTGCTTAGATAAAGAGATAAACTTGGTGATGCTCTCAGTACAAAACACCCGAATCGACATTCGTGTTTTCCTTGGTGTCTTACACTAATTCAGGTGGACATTGACAAAGACACCAGGGCGTATAATATGGTTTTGTAGATATCAGTGAGCGCAAGTTGCCGGGCTTTTTCGTAATTTCGTATTTCCGCATGGGTCAAATATGTTGCTGCTGCATCTCGTACTTGCGCCTTGGGGACGGCTTTAAGCTCTCCCATAGTAGAGTACCAAGTACTCTAAATCGTTACCCACTTTTTCTACCCCCCCCCCCCCCCCCCTTTATGGCTGGCTGTCGTGCCGCCATTCTCGGGACGGCTCTCAGCTCTCCCATAGTAGAGTATGAAGTACTCTAAATTGTTAACCACTTTTTCAAAACGCACAGTAGAGTACCAAGTGCTCAAATCGTTATTTAGGGACGGATTACTGCTCTCCCATGGTTGAGTACCAAGTACTCGAATTAGTTAAACATTTTTTATAACCTCCCCCTTCACTGAAAGCGTGTGATACCCACGCTCCTTGGTTTTAGCTGGGACGGCTTTATGCTCCCCCATAGTAGAGTACCTAGTACTCTCAATCGTTAACAACTTTTTCTAAACACCAAGAGACGTCATGTTGCGAGCCTTTTGCGAAGAAAACAAACAATAACCCCAATTTTCTATGGCGGTGGTCAAACACGGACGGCTATAGCAGCTCTCCCATATTTGAGTACAATGTACTCGAAATCGTTAAACACTTTTTCTCAACACACATGTCATGTTCGGCCATGCGGACGAACTGTGATATAATACCGCCTACGCTTGGAGGTTTGCCCCGCGTTCCTCAACAAGCTGCTGATTCTCTGCTCGTCCCTCCATCAGTCGAAGAGGTAAAGGCAGCACTACCATCTATGAAGCGGGGGACAGCCCCGGGGCCAGACGGTTTTCCAGTTGAATTTTACTTGTCATTTTGGAATGAGCTTGGTACCGCCTTAACCGCGGTTATCCGGCGATGTTTCGAGGATGGTGTCTTTATCCATCAAGTTTTCGAGATGGACGCATTGTGCTTATTCCAAAAGGTGATGCTTCCTCTGTTAATTTTGAAGATTGGAGACCTATCACGCTTCTTGACGTTCTTGATATTCGCGACGGTGATCGTTCAACGTTTGAGGGCACTGTTGAATACCCTGTTGGGTCATCACCAGGCTTCATCTTTGCCTGGACGAGAAATACGCAGCTTGTCCTTTACCACCCGGAATATCATATCATAGTACAACAACATCTTTCGTCGGCACCTTTATTGTCGCGGATCGTATACGCACAACTTGTGTGGGAAAATACCAGAAACGCTGCGCTTTGCGATTCAAAAAAGGACGCAACGTTCTGTGTCAGCGGATACCGAGTAAATTGCTGTATCTCCCTCCGGCAGTGACCTCGCCGATGAAGCTGCCATAAAGTCGCACACAGAAACAAACATGTTTTCTATACCTTTATCAAGGATTGACGTTTTCCGATACACACGATCGATCGTATCCTCTGTCTCGACCTGTCTCTACGACTTCGTCTACTACCAGGTCTTTCACGGGAGGAAGTTACGGGGTATAGTGCCGCCTGCGTCCGGGTGTAGCATTCACCAGAGCCTAATTATTGAGGCCGAAAACGCCGAGTGATGATGGTATATGATGAGCATACGATGGCCGAAAACGCTGAGTGCGACGACTGCGCCGCCGATGAAACGGATGAGGACCTTTGGTGGTACTGCGGCTGTGCCGCCGATGAAACGGGTGGAGACCTTTTGTTGTACTGCGACTGCGCCGCCGATGAAACGGGTGGAGACCTTTTGTGGTACTGCGCGGCATAAGCGTACGAGAGGCTTCACCTCGGCAGTGCTGTGCACCAACTGGATTTGGAAGTGGTTTCACTCTCGAGAACATGCCGAGAAGAAAGGGCTGCCCATCGGAGGTCCGAAAGGCAACGAAATGTCTTTTGCGTGTTCTCTATAGAGAAATCGCCGTTTGTGATATCAAACGCGGAACTGTCAACATTCGCTAAAGCGCAGACGTTTCAATCTTCCTTCTCCTTCGCCCATTCCGCAATGCAGCGTATAGCTTACAGAGCCCGGCCATGGCGGTCTTGTGGTCATGGTGATCGAGTTCTCACCCGTAGGTTGCGGGGTCGAATCCCGGCCTGTGGCATTCTTGCGTTTTCGGTGGAAGCGATATAGTGTTCGAAACCCGCGTACCTTTAGATTTAGGCTCACGTTAAAGAACCCAACGAGTGGTCGAACTCTCCGGAGCCCTACGGCTTTCCTCACGATCATATGGTAGTTTCGAGGTCGTTATACCTAAATAATTTAATTAGCGTAGCTTACCGGGCTCGTGCCTCGGTAATCTGCCTGTATTTCCTTTATTTTTTATTCTCTATCTTTCAGATAGTGTAACTATATACGAAGGTATAATATTGTCTAAAAGGAGAGTGTATCTACATCAGTTAAAAGGAGAGTGTATCTAAATCAGTCAGGCATGCCGTTTAGCCGGATTATAAATTAAGCTTGGCGTTGGCGGTTCCGTTACAAAGTGGGCGCTCATGGTACCCTTCCAAGCATATCATACAGCATTCCGCCAACGGTGTCACTATACAGCCGCAATATCACCGTGCGCTATACGAGCGCAACATCGACTTTAACGCCTTGTCCCCCCCCCCCTCCTGTTTTTTTTTTCATTGTTTCTGTGGTGTTTCAATATCTCAAAAAGATGCCATCTACTTTAGCAGCCGGAGTTTATTTCAGGATACTGTCCGGCTAAGCGTACCCCGCATTCACGAAAGAAAGAAGCTGTAAATTGTTCTACATTTTCGTTTGTTCGTCTCTGCGTTCTTCTCTTGAAAGCACGAAGTGTGGGAGAGAAGAATGTTAAAAAAAAGTAACGAAAAGGCGAGTGTCCCCCCATAGAAAAAAGTGAAAACAAAGATATAACACGAATATTCTCAGGAGAGGCTTTTGAACAAAATCTTTCCACGATGCTAACTTTGTCGCGAGCCACTTTCTGTGCTTTGCTTGTCTGGTGGGAATTTGTATAGGAGCTACGAAATGAAATAAATAAATAAATAAATAAATAAATAAATAAATATAGATAGATAGATAGATAGATAGATAGAAAGAAAGAAAGAAAGAAAGAAAGAAAGAAAGAAAGAAAGAAAGAAAGAAAGAAAGAAAGAAAGAAAGAAAGAAAAAAGAGATCTTGTGAGCCGATTTGGATGAAAGCGCAGGCTTCACGGTCGGTAGCACCGGAATCGAATACTCTTTTCTAGTGAGTGGCTCCCTCTCGTTATCGCCACTAAGTTCAATGTCGCCCGCGTCGAAATGCGCCGTCAGAAATACCTTTCTCGGGTTCTTGTGCGGAACGGCTGGGTAAAAAAAAAAGAAATACACGTCCCGTATATAGGGGTATACAGGTATACAGTGTCACCGGCTTGGTGTGTGTGTGTCGGAGGCATTGACCTTTTATTTGCGTATAACTTTATTATGCAGCACCTCCGAGATTCGCTGATCTTTGACCAAATGACGATACCATGCGATGACGTCATTACGTGGTGGAATGTTATGTGGCGTCATGAAGACGTCAGAAATTTTGGCGTCTTGGCACGTCTTGATGACGTGGCATCGTGATTTTTTTTTTTGCATCGCTCGTTTTGACGCCAGTTCTTACTTTTCTCCTTTGATGATGCATGTAATCATATTGCTTTGAAACACCAGTGCACGCATGGATATATAGGTGAGCGTTGAAGGATACTAGGTGACTCACTTTATTCCGGGCCTCTTCCCATATTACGGCGTCGTTATGTAGGCGTCACGTTGGGCTTACGTCGACTGCAGTTTGTGCTGGCTCCTCTTTTCTAACAATATAATAAACTATAAACTATAAACTATATATAAGCTATATTCAAGTGTTGACCAAACTCGGCGCAGTACGCTTACGAAAGTTCATGTTATTCACACCATCTCACCGTAGTGTGCGATAATGTGACTATGCATAATGCCTCTATGTAATGTCTCACAATCATGTGGTGCTTTCGGATCACCACACTACGGATAATATTGCTATTATTATTTTATAGAAAAATGTCGCTTTGCTGGGTTTTAAAGGTGTACCCCGAAATGTGACGCCTAATTCATTTTTTTTTCTGCAACCTATATGCACAGGTCGAGACGTGCCGGACGCTCGTCCACAGCGCTTCGAGGTCGCCATGTACCCACATCTCGAGGCCGCGCTTAGGCCCGGCGCCTCCTGAAGCTCGCTTCCGAGGTCGCGCCTGGCCTCGCAGATTCGCGGCAGGTCGGCGACGCGAACGCGCTCCTGCCCTCGACGCAATGGCCACAGCAGCCAGCGGTGGTGGCGGTGGGAGTCGGGACCCCAACCACCACGAGCTGCAGCAGCAGCAAGGACCCGAGCCCAAGCGTCAGCAGCAGCAGCAGCAGCAGCAGCAGCAGCAGCAGCAGCAGCAGCAGCAGCAACAACAGCGTCACCAACAGCCAGAACCCGGACTTAAGCCTCAGCTTCAGCCACAGCTTCAGCCACAGCTTCAGCGGCGACGCGCCAGCATCGATGTGCCGGTTAGCTCAGACCAGCAGCACGTGTCCAGGCCGCGCCGGGCGAGCGGATGTAGAGCCGCCGACGTCGTGGTGGTGAGTAAACGGATTTTCTCATCGTGTTCGGACGTCCTTGGGTCGTTATAGGTACCCTTCCCCTACGCGCTGCGCACCCTCGCTGTTGGTGACGTCGTGTAGTAGCAAGAAGAGCACGTGAGACGTACGGGAGTATCGGAGGTCGTCGCGGATTTGTCGCGCTCCCTCTGTAACAATGACTCGCGGATGTGCACGTGTTGGTGGTCTCGACAGAGCGGTGTAAGGATGCAAACATTGGAGTAAAACGGACGGTAACCGGGCAGAACATCATAAGGGCGTCCATGGTTCTACTGCTATGAAGAAAGTCATAGACGTCCGTAGGATGTTCTGTCAACGTCTAAACGTTTTGAAACTATAGAGTCGCCTATAGGCGTCCGGTTATTTGTTGAGACAGCCTCTAAAGAAGGTTTGGCACAAAAGACGTCTTGTTGATGTCTAGTAAGGACTGGTTTTAGACAACTCAGATTTGCTTCTGTTATATGCGTGTTGCCTTTCTGACATTGTTAAGCTTTGCATATAACGGTAAAGCATGTATTCGAGAATATGTTAAATGAACGTAGTGCTGGAGTATGGGAGTTTGTTGCGTTTCATTCTGTCGCGCTCTCTCTGCAACAATGACCCAGAGGTATGAATAGGTCAGTGGACCAAATAATAGAGTGTTGTTAGGAGATATAAGATCAGAGTCGCGTGCTAACTGAACCAGAAAGTAAGATAGGAAGAGACGAGACGTCTGCAGGGTGTTTTTTTTTTTTTCGGCGTGTAAAGAAAGTTATTTGGGGATCCTTTTGTAGACGTCTAGTGTTCGTTTAGACGGCGTGTAAAAAAGGTGTTGGTGCCGATGTGTAAAGAAGACGTCTTGTTGATGTCCAGAGGAAGTGATTTACAGACACCCTTGATTTGTTAGGTCTAGACTTCGCTACAACGTCAAACTTTGCGTGACTGTGAGGCATGTATTCAAGATTGCATGTGGTAAACGTAAGAAGTACTGGAGATATAGGAGGCTGTTGCTTTTCGTTCTGTCGCGCTCCCTCTAATAACAATGGTTCAAAACTATAAATACGTTGGTTCACGTAATTACAGCAGCGGTATAAGAAGATGAAGGTCAAAGTGACGCGTGTATTAAGAGAACAAAAAAAAAAAAACAAGTAAGAGAGTAATAATGGACATCTGCAGGAGGTTTTTCCAACGGCTAACGGAGGGTTGTGTGACGACCTTTTGTAGAGTCTGGTCCTCGTATAGACGACGTCTTAAGAAGTTTTCGGTGTCTCGACCAAAGAAATTGTGTGGCCAATATCAAGGGAGGACGACTTATAAAAAGATTGGACGTGTTACTGCTGCATATATCTTTTCTGACGCATTTTGCATACGATTAAAGCAGACATTCTAGAATATGGTAAACGTTCTGTATCGTGTCTTACTTGCAGTTCTGAGCATCGATGTCTAAATGAACAAAGTGCAAACGCTAACAGCGATTTGCATACGTGTTTGCATACGCCGCTGGCAAGTACGTTCTCCGCATGATAAGGAAGGTAAGAGAAAAAGAAACTCCACAAAAGAAGGCATTCTGGCTTTGAACTGACAGTATAAAATTTGGCTTTCTTTGTTCGAGTAATACTCGTGTTATTGGAGCCGGTCGAGTCGGCTTCCTAATGAGAAAGCTCTCTGCAATGAGCTCGATACTTAAGTAATAACGTGAGTTTTTGCTCTCGTGCTAATGATTTTGCTTAACCGCAAAAAAGCCTTGATTGGATGGACAAAGTAGGTGCCGCTCACTAATCCGCCTTTTAAATCTTCGGTCGTCAAGCGACCAGCAGTTAATGAGGCATCGCTTTTGTTTTTTTCCCGTTTCTGTAAAGAGCTTATGGACTATACTTTGTGACATTCTTGGACCTTGGGACTCCCGTCTCTTTCAGCTGCTTTTCTCTTCTCTCTTTTTTTTTTCATGTTGTGCCTGTTGTGTGGCACTGAAGCAGGGAAGATGTCCTCTATTTTTTTTAGAGGCTTAAGCTACGAGTGATACACTTCTTTCTCTTCCAAACACTTTCGGTCCACTATTTACTTCCGGATTTTAGAGTGTTAGAAAGTTCTATCGATGTTCCAGTTGGCTTGCAATATAGCTTTAAATATAACAACTCTGCCTTTAGGGAAATGGGTCGCCGCTCTTAATCATGCCCGGCGTTATGTTCTGGATATAGCCAGGAGACTAGTCATTTTTTCGCCCAGTTTCCTGTCTATAGCCTGCACTTTATCCTAGTGCATTCTCCACCAGAGCTCCTGCCTCTGAATGGTTCCGGCTCACGCACAATGAAAACGTACAATCTAAAAGCACCTTCATGTTTGGATGGCGCTGATGGCTCTGCGGCTTTACGACCGCGCCAACGCTTCTTTCTTGTTCTCTTTTTTTTTATTGGAAAGCGTTTTGCGATGCGTCCTTCTGTCTTGTTTATCGCCATATAATGCGCTCGGAGCGACGTGCAGCGGCCAAGTTAGGAGGCTTCGCTCGTAAACGCCTTCTATAATGTAGGGCTTCTGCGCGTCTCTTCGTTTGAGAAGGAATTAGGGTTTCCTTCCAGGATGACTAAGGCAAACTTTGGCGCCGTGATGTGAATGGGAGCTGCAAATAAGCTCTGGTTTAGCAAGCACGAGAACTGCCGCTGTAATTATTGCACGAATTGCCTCAAAGTTCGTCCCTATGCTGGCTGTCCTCAAGCGTGGATTTGCAGGTTAGCATTGTTCTCGGCAGAATGTGACTGAATAAATCGTTCTCAATAGACGAACGTGGATTCTCCTCAACAGAATGATGCGACTGAATAAATCGTTCTGAGTAAGCGAACGCAAATTGTTCTCAGCACAATATAGCCTAACTGCAGTGGTTCGTCAATCATAAGCGTGTGCTGGAAAAGAAGTCTATGCGCTTTCTTGAGAGGATCGGATTTTTATAGTTTACCTTGCATTCTAACTACGTTGACATAGCGCTACGCATTTGACAGACAAATCGATCGTCATTGTCTCTGTCTTGGTCGTCATCACGATTGCTTTGCGCAGTGTGCTGTAGAGGTTACACGAACATAAATTGTTGCCTCGGACAGGCTGGAAAACGCCTTTGTATGTGTGAGCCTATACTTTTGTCAACGGTTCCTTGTCATCCTTGGCGTGTTAGCTTTGGCATGTGCTGAAAGTCATGGAGTTTCCTACATATCTATACATAAGAGGGAACTCTGGCGCTAGTGTCAATGGGAGCTGCAACGCACGACGCTTCAGCGAGAATGGGAATTGTGGGCAGTACACTCGTATTTGTCTAATCTGCGTACTTTCGGCTACGTTTGGCTATGCGTGGCTGGGAGCTGCTTTGTTACGAAACGAAAAATTTGCAAATGTAACAGCTGTGACACCTCGCTACCTTCACCTTGCAGCATCACCATTGCAAGTCGGTTCACGAAGTTCACAACGGCTTGCTCTTTCATTCGAAACAAAAGCAAAACGCAGCAATAAACAGAGCCACAAGTTCGTCAGAGTCCCCTCAAGTTAATTTTAGGAAATTTTACCCCCACAGAGTTTGCTAAGAATAACTAAAGGGGACTGTGGCGCTGCGATCGTTCAGCGACCAAGAATTTCCTAAAACGAACTGGAAGTGACTGTGGCGCTGCGATCGTTCAGCGACCAAGAGTTTCCTAAAACGAACTGGAAGTGACTGTGGCGCTGCGATCGTTTGGCGACCAAGAATTTCCTAAAATGAACTGGAAGTGACTGTGGCGCTGCGATCGTTTGGCGACCAAGAATTTCCTAAAATGAACTGGAAGTGACTGTGGCGCTGCGATCGTTCAGCGACCAAGAATTTCCTAAAGTGAACTGGAAGTGACTGTGGCGCTGCGATCGTTCAGCGACCAAAAATTTCTTAAAATGAACTGGAAGTGACTGTGGCGCTGCGATCGTTCAGCGACCAAGAATTTCCTAAAATGAACTGGAAGTGACTGTGGCGCTGTGATCGTTCAGCGACCAAGAATCTCCTAAAATGAACTGGAAGTGACTGTGGTGCTGTGATCGTTTGGCGACCAAGAATTTCCTAAAATGAACTGGAAGTGACTGTGGCGCTGCGATCGTTTGGCGACCAAGAATTTCCTAAAATGAACTGGAAGTGACTGTGGCGCTGCGATCGTTCAGCGACGCACGGTAACGATGGGCAGTACATGGATTTTCCTAGTCTTCCCGCTTGCGGACCTCGAACGCACTTATGGCGTCGTTGATTGCAGTGTTTCGGTTTCGGCAACTGCTGAAGATTCGCCGATTTATGTTTCCTGACAAAGCAGCCTCGAACCACGCGAAGCCAAAAAGGAACGTAAAGTGCGAATACTAGGGCAAATCCGTTCACTATGGCCACAATTCCCGCGGTGCTCGCTGGAGCGCCATGCGTTGCGGCTCCCATAGACACTAGCGCCACGAGTTCCCGCTAGTGTAATATTGTCGCAACGTGCAAAGAACAGGACACAAGGCTTCCTTTCGACGTTAAAAGCAAGGTTCTATTCACATACAAAAACAAAGCGCAAGAGCAGACGCGCAACGTCGTCTTCCTCGAAAAATGCCAGAAACTGCCGCTCGTGATGCTGGCTTCTTCGTCCTTTTGTGTTGTGTTTACGGCTAATAACCGTGACATTAGCCTCCTTCTCAAGAAGGCATCGTCCCGATGCTTCATCATCATGGCGGAAGGGTTTGTAGTCACTGGCAGACCACGGGTTCATTCGGACAAATAAGGTTTCATTCGAACCACGTGCACAACTTCTGGTGCATGTCTTTGACGTCTTGAACAGTGGGGACTGTCGGGAAACTCTGCGCCCGAAAACGACACTACGTGACGTCACGTGATGTAGTGTGACGTGAGCGAGGGATTTCTTCATAGCTAACGCACTGAGGGTGACAAGATGTCTTGCACCGAAAATGGGTCCACCGATATAGGAATGTCTGCCGACCTAGGGTATGTGTGTTAATGTTCGTTCAACCTGTAAAGCTACGCGCTATAGTAAAGAAGACTACCGCAGTAATGAAACAGTTATTCCCCTCTCGCAAGAGTACCTCTCGAAGTTCGCGCGCGTTTCGAGAGGTGTTCGATGATGCTTCGCCTTGCTTCAACTCGCGTACACTGTGCGTATTTAGTAGAATATCTTTTTTTTTCTTTTTTCTTTCTGGGCGGGTGATGTAGACGGCCACCGGAAACTGCGAGCGTGGCGCTAGCCGCATTTCAATGACCCCTGTCAACCCAGCGTCGCCGACACTTCCATCGCCTCCTTACTTCCGCCGCCGGCTCTCTGCGCATTCCTTCGTGTCGATATCCCTGCAGCGTGTCGTACGGAGCTGCTTATCGCGCCTTCCTAATCAACAGGCAGCTCGAGCTGATTGTCCGCGTCTTCTACGAACGCCTGGTTATATGAGCCATGCGCTGCAGATCTCGGTCACTACGATGATGATATAGGGCCGTTAGCTGGGCTACCTAATCATGCGCTAAGTGTGTTGTAGAGTTTTTAGCGAGCAAATACCTAGCAAGGAAGCAAGTGGAGAGGGGGGCACTTTTTCCCGCTCGGTTGCCGTTTTTTTTTTTCTTAGAGTATTTTCGCTGGAGGCTGTTGTAGTGCCCTCAGTGATGACTGCGCTATCTGTATATATAGTATTCGAGACACGTTTCGTGTTCCGAGCAGACAGCCAGAAAGCCGGAGACTGGTTCTGTCCCTATGGATAGGGAGTGGACGGGACAGAATGACTGCCGCTGTTACTTGTTCGGTTCTAATCTGCCACAATCAATCAATCAATCAATCAATCAATCAATCAATCAATCAATCAATCAATCAATCGATCGATCAATCAATTGCTTTTTCATTATTTTGTACAGATATATTAAAAGATTTTGAAGAGACATATGCAGTTGTAAAGAACAACTTGACTAGTTCACGCTCTATCTCTTATTATCTTTGTGATGAGGTGGATAACTTCTTCATTTCAAATACAACCGTCAACTCGTCCTGTGAACAATGATGCTTCGCTGTCTGTTACTCTGTTGGTTGAAATAAAAAAAAAATGTCAAGGCTTTTGCTGTTCTTGTATGTTTATTTCAGCACACAGTTTATTGATGCAGCGCTGCTAAGCCGTCGTAGTAATAATAGAACTGATGATAGTAGTAGTAGTAATTGTCGGTTATTGACGCCTTCGAAGGCTATCAGTCAAGTTGCGAACTGCGAAGCCGTAATATATTTTCTCTCGTGAGCTGGCGGTACCCTTTTTTTTACGCGTACCCGTCGCTGCACTGCACGTATGCAATGCGGTGGAGTATGCACACACACACTCTTAGACTCATTGCACACAATTGCCTTCCCTCTCACTTTCCAAGTGACGAGGGATCGAGGCGAATGCAAATTTCGATCGCCACGTTGCGCAAGCGCATTTG